CAGCAATGAAAGTATCAATTTCTATAAGAATAATACTGGAAACACATTGAAATCTATCCTCCACTAAGCAAGTACAATAGCACTGTCAAAAAAAATTCAAAAAAGTTGAATGTTGTATCTTATTTTATGCAAGGAGCTATAAAAATTGGAATCTTTTGTTTTAATGCATCCTTTATCAGAAGGCCTGGCCATCCATACATTTGTCAGCTTCTTATTTATGTTATAAATTAAAATGTAATAATAGTTATTTCTAAATTTATAGCTCTTGTGTATATTTAAATACACAATTCTTCAGTAGTGGCCAAGTTCCGTTTTTGAAGTCTTGTAAGAGGTATATCAGTGGCTCTCAGTCTAATCTATAAAACAGTTAAAACAGTTTGAGAACTGTAAAATTGTCAGGTCCTAAATCAGGGTTAGGAGTTATTAAATCAACTAAAATAAACCAGCTTAAAAAACAACAAAAACACTAGCACCCAGGTAAAAAAAATTTTTTAAGTTCGGGATGAAAGTTTCCTCTCTTTTTTAATGAACTTTGCTGGAAAAGATTGGATGTAAAAAATGTTTGATAGACCCGAACTCTAAAGGAAATTACTATCAATATAAATTCACCAAGTTAAACTTCAGTAACATGAAAATAATTAGTTAGGCCCTCTTGCTGAGCTTGTATACTTATAAAAACATTTTTTAAAAATTGATGAATATATCAAAAAATTGATAAAATATATCAAAAATTTGATATATTTAAAAAGATCTAGGAAAGTTTGTTTGAAATTTTTTATATATAGACGCTGTATGCTTGAGTAAATATATAATTATTATTGTGTTTATTTCCAGAGAACAGTATGCTATAGTAAAACATGACTTCAAATCAGACAAAAGTTCCTAAAGTAATCTAATTCTGGCATAAGCACTAAAGATTCACCCTCTGTTTTAAAACAAAATGCAGCCCTAAGTACATATATAATGCATATGCTTTTAATATGTAAAATATAAGTGGTCCTCTGTTTCAAAAATTCATCAACTGTTCATTATGTTGATGAAACATAATAATGTCTTTTCAAAAGAGGTTGCTATCATTGTTACATTTACATGGCATCTAAAAATTACTGAGAAGTAGGTTCTTTCTACTGCATTCAAAAAGAATTATTCCCTAGTAAGCACATTTACAATTGCACAGTTCTGGAATTCAATGGATTTTTTCCAACCTGAGGCTGATTAAGCATGCATATATTCAAGATGTACCAGAGATTTCTTATTAATAAACATTTTTTTTTACTAAACATCAGTTCTTTTGAATCTGCACTTTCATGCTTGTCACATCAACATTATATTTGTTTCACATGCTGGATGGCAACAGTTTTGTTTTAATAAATAAATGAGAGATATCTACTTGTAAAATGCATGGTGGTCATTGAATGAGCTTATAACCTGTGAACTTCAATAACCACGTTTCAATAACATGGGAGAAGCAGATATCTTACATTTAAATGCAATATATTTGAACAATCTCACTATGCCAGACAAAACCAGGTTCTCAATATTATAATTTCCCAACTATCAAAAGTTAGGTAATAATATAGCTGCAATTAGTTTTTTAAACATGCACTTATATATACACAAACACAAACATTTGCATTATTTCATTGATTTATAACTATGTGAAGTATATACTCCTGCGTTAGATGCTAATTTGTTCTGAACTATCAGCAGCAATAGGACCTTGAAAAGAAAGGCAGAGACATGTCTTAAATCTTAGTATGAAACCAAATGGGCCAAATTTCTTCCTGCATCCAGTAAAAGAAAAAGAAAAATTCTAGCAATTTGCTGAACCGCCTAGCAATTCCAAACTGATTTCAGATTGGAAAATATAAATGTAACTGATAAAACTCCTTTAAAGTACATTATTAGAATTTCTGACATCATATCAGGGGTTTTATGCAGAGAAAAACAGCAATAACCAGTTGCACAGAGTTTGGAATTCATTATTTGTTAGCATCTTGAATTACACTCTTTTAAAAGTTATTAGACATGACAGGAGATAATACGACAGACCTGGGAAATTCTAGATCAACTTTACTGCAAAGGGAGAACGAATCTCCCCCATTAAGTCTTAAAAGTCCTGCTCTACTTCCAATCAAATGAAATATGAGTTGTTTTCAGTATACATATTTTGACTGCATCACATTATTCTGAAGTTGTTCATCTTGGTACAGCTTATTTATACAGTTATAAGAAGGAAGCCTGTTCTACTGTAAAGTTGATCCAAAGCGATGAAATATGACCTTAGACAAGAGTGGCAAAGAGCTTTGATAAATAAAGTCCAAAAGCAATGTTTAAGCACAAACAGAATACAATTTTTTCCTTCCTTCCTTTCTTCCTTTCTCTGCACTCCCTCCCCTTTTATTTCTTTTTCCTTTCCTTTCCTTTCTTTCTTTCTTTCTTTATCTTTCTTTCTCTTTTCCTTTTCTCCCTTCCTTTCTTTTCTTTCTGCTAGATTTTGAGAAATGTTTTGAAAGTCATGTCACCAACACCTTGCGAGTCACATTTGCCACGCGGTCTCTCCAACTTTCAGCCCAGTAAAATAGTGTTCATCTATTGATTAGGCCTGATAAACAACTCCTTTTCATTCCTGGTAAAGAAGAGAGTTTCCTACTTATTTTATAGGTTAATTCAAGCTAATTAGACATTAACACAGCTATCGCTAATCATGTATCCCTGCTTGGTCTCAGCAGTTAATAAATGCCCCCAATGCTTGAGATATATTATTAAGTGATCAGGAGAGCTAATTCACCAGTTGGCAGCCGTTCTTCCTTATGGATGAATGGGGAGAGTGACAACATGGCAAATAGTACCCTCAGCTGTTTTAGCAGACATTTAATTGTATAAAATCAAATTCACAGCATGTTTCATGATAGTTTACTAAATTCCCATCCATATTTGAGTTGGAGTAATAAAAATGTATTAACCCTGTAGGCTGCCTGACTCTCGACGTCTCTTAACAGAAGAAGCTGAGGTTATGGACAATCATTTAGCTTAAAAAAAGGATCCCCCAATCTGTTTAATATATGAATAAGTTGCTTTGAAATATTGTGTGTCACATATTAAATGTACGTATAATTGTCAACTGCATGTGATTTGTGTGACGTGACTATCATTTTTTTCTTCTTTTATCACGGCATGCTACCTAAAGAACAAGTAGCTATTTATTTTACAGGTTTGAAGAAAGATCAGTTACCCAAATACGAACTACAAGTGGCCCAAGATAAAATAAACATGATTTAGAAAAAAAGAAAAGAGTTGTTGGCAAGAGTACAGATGCCATTACCAAATGTGAAAAATGTAAACATCAAAAAATAATGAGTTCCATGGTGTCCACTCCCAACCGGGTGAAGCTGCTGGAACGGGTGTTCCATATTCTAGATGTGTTTCTCCTTCAGTCTGCCATATGTTTTTGTTATTTTTAGTACATGATCAAGATGCAGGCCTTAAGCCAGCCCTTCTCCCCCTCCCCCCACCTCTTAAATCCATTTGGATTTATTTATTATATTTTCCTTCTTCTCCTCCCTTCCCCCCCCCCCCACCGGCCAGCTAAACCTTTACTATAGGTAAAAATAAATTGAGCACAACACTGCCATTTCCTTTCTGCAATTGCCTGCACAATCTCAGGACGGATCATTTTTCTTTGCCAACCAGACAGCAACATTCTGAATGTATATTTCATTTGCTAATGGCCTTTTATTGCTTCTTTACTTGAAGCATGTGGTCGGCCAGAAAACTGATAGGAAGGGCCCAGTTTTTCTGTTTGTTCATCCTTCCTCTACATATTTAGAGGGGGGGGAGGGCTTAAGAGGTCACTGCTTAAAAAGATAGATGGCCACAAATTTTAAAAAATGCATATGCTATTTTGCCCTGCGAATTTGTGGGATGCTGTAAACAGCAGAATAGATAAGAACAAACTGATTACAGGAAGGATCTGATTGGCAAGAACTGTTATCTATTGAAGATTTCTACCTACTTGTGATTTTATTTACCGTGCTATATAAAGGTAATTAAATAAAATAACAAGTATGAAAACTACACCTGATTTACAGAGCAATTCTCTAAATCTACTGAGAAGCATGTTCCAATTAGTTCGCTGATACTGCCTTGCAGGTAAGTATGTAAGTAAGCACGTACTAAGAAAATGCATAGCGAAGATTGTAGACTCAATCTTTTAAATATAAAAATGGATCAGGTTGTTTTCCACTCTAAGAAATGGTCATTTATTAATATGAAAAATACTGATATATTTTTTAAAAAAATCAGTCAACCTAAACTATTTCATCCTATTAATTTTTAAAAGGGCAAAATATGAATTTGTATTCACAGTTTAAAATATGTATTTGAATCAAAGACACAAAGACAAATACTATTCCATTCCAAAACAAAGCCACTCAGGAATTTCTATCCCTCAAAATTTAAAAAGAACAAATATAATCATATTTTAGTTCCTATCATCCTTGACAAGCCTAAATTATCAAGAAAAAAGTGAAATCAATTTTGTTTAATAATAGAGGGCAAAATTATCCATGTTTACAAAACAAAAATGCCTCATAACTGATAGGTAGCATATTGGTAAAGTTGTTCTTTAAAAAAAAAAAGCTTTCCATTTCAGAAATGTGTGTCAAATATTTCTAAAATTTAAAACTAAGAATTAAATATTGTAGTTAACCACAATTTTAATTTCCAAATATTAAAAGCACACAAAAGCAGATAACTTCACATATGTATAAAAATATGCATCCTGTGTTTCACTCTTAAAATAAATGTAGCCAAAAATGTATTAACATGGGTAGCAATGCTTTTGTAAACGTATATTTTGCTTTTAAACTGTTTCATCTCCTTCACACCTCTATCCAATAATTACACTAGCACACATGGACAACTTGAGGTTGGCTGCTATTTTGTTTTCTCCCATGGAAAGCTGCTAAAAATAAGTTCAGAAAATGTTCACTACATACCTGATCACTTATTTGACATGCAACAAGATTAGGTTGATAGTAGCATCCAGCAAATTTGATATACTTTAGCCAATTTCCTACATCTGGCTGGCTGGCATCAATGCAGAATTTCACATTGTAATGCTCATCCAAGATCTAAAGAGAAAACAGAAAACAAGACATCGCTGTTGCTTTGGTCTCATTCAGATATTTTGAAAATAAATCACAGTCCTTCAAATAAACAAACAGAAAAGAGCTCAAGTGTGTTTTATAATGAAGTATGCTTCTTCAGTGGACTTCACAAAAACAATTAAATGGGACCCAGTAATTAAAAGACCAATTACTCTGTCACAGCTATACCTCTTGCAATATATTTGTCTATAATCAAAATGCAGTGGAAAAATCCCAAGAGTTCTTTAATGAAAACTCATATGAATAGTCCTGACTTTTTACAAAATTACAAAATGTTAGGTTTGATTAGTGGCAAACAAATGCAAAATTGGCTAGCGTCATATTTGTAAATTGTCTCTTAACAGTTTACATTTAATATATCTTTTCCAATACAAAATTTCATAGGTTAGAAAAAGACTAGGTTTAGAAGAAGTAATTGTTCTTTAAGTTTTATATAATATGCGGTCAAGGGATAAAACTGCAAGAATTGCCTAATAACAGGGCCCCTTTTATACCACACCAAAGAAAATAAATACAGTGAAGTGTAAACACTTGTACAGAATGTAGCTGCTTTTGGCATATGCCCCTAAATTGATTCAGATGAAAAAATATTGCAAACTTAATGTGATTGCTACAGGTTATAGTAGAAATAATGCATCATAACAATATTATAATAAAAGCCTAAATATTATAATACAACATCACAATCTGCCTGTCTAGAGGCCTCATCTGAGATTTCAGCTAAGTATGTCAAAATGTACATTTAAGACTCCTTAGTGTCACAGATTTTCCATGTCCGGTTTTAGACAAAACCTCATGGTAAAATTGCAAAAACAAAACAAAACTACCCTCACTATCAACAACAACAAAACACCACCAAACCAATATAAGTTTATGGAAAATTGTAGAAGGGAAGAGATTATGCAAAGACTGACACGTAAAATACATGTTTAGATTCATAGCAATTCTTGTTTTTGAACGGTATATATCTTAAGAATCCTGGTACCTTTTGTCATCTTATATAATAAAATCCTAAATTAAGTTTCCTCTGAAAGAATAAACTATCTCAGATCCTAGCTCCAATTCAGCGATTAAATGAATCGAGTGGATAAAACTACGGTATTCTGGCTCACCTGAGGTTAAAGTCAAAAATTGGAGGGCAATATGTTCCTAGCCCGAAAGCATTTTTCACCAAGAGTTCAGGTAATCACCCAGAAGCAGTTTTAGATCATTAACTCTTCACAAAACTTCAAGAGGCACAAAAGCCCAGGGCATAAGGCAACGGAGCACTAAGAAAGTGCCTCTTGTATGTTTTGTTAAGCAGCAGGCACTTAAACCAACAAGGGTGCCACCAATTTTTAATGTTTAATGCATGCCCCGAAAAGAGGGGCCTGCCAGGGGTGAAAACCCACTTCAAAGTCAATTTCAGGAGAAGAATTAAGCCTTGGAATCTTTTTACACATGGGGCTTTGTGCATTTGGCCCAGCGCCTCCACTGCACGCAGAAAGAAAAGTTGAGTTTTCAGCTTCCAGAGCAAAAACTACTTCCACCTCCTCCCTCCAGAAGAAACCCCACTAACCTCATAACTGTCCCCTGAGACTTTGGCTGGATCATCTGGGAGGCAACCAATAAAAAAAATGACGCAAAGTAAAAATAAAATAAAAACCAGTCCTTTGGGTGACAATGCCCAAGGAACAAACCAGTGTGCTTCAGAACAGCTTCCTTGTGTTCAGAGAAATGGCTTGTGGACACAGGGCAGAGGAATACTTGCACATATATAGAATAAAGACGAGATGCAGGAGGCCAATCCAGATTTATCTGGGCCTCTTCCTGAAGTCCAGGAAGAACTGGACAGGAGGCTATTGAGAATGGATAGATGAGTTATGCTGCCTTTCAAGCACTTACCCTTTCCCTTAAGGACACCCTCTGAATTGTCCCCACCCCATCCCACTTTTCAGAGGTGCCACTTTTCAAATGTCCATTCAAGATCCAGAAGTTCTATTAATCAAGAGAAATCTAGGCAGCGTAAAGGACTGAAAAGCCTTCTAATCCCACACCTTGAATAATTCATTTTTCATTTAGACTTCTTCAAACTCAACTATTTCTGAAGCAGGAATCCCGCAACCCACGCCTAAAGTTCAAGATCAGGGTTTGGGGACTGGTTTGCTTATTTTTCCCACCCCCCTTCCAGTTGCTGCATTTGAACAAACTGGTAGCTTTTGGGTAGAAAAAAAAGTAAAACTGCTTCAGTCGCGACCCTTCACTTTCTCTGCCTTTCCCCCTAGTCCGCCTAATGCCACTGATTGATTATTTCCTTTCTCTTTCTTTCTTTCCTCCCTTCATTCATGCGTGGCATAGCGCTATACTTAATTCGAGTTCTTTATTTCAAAAGATCAAGAGAAGCCTTCTGCCCAGTGGATTAAAATCAATCAAAACTGCCAGACTTTCTCGCCAAAACACATTTAGAAGCAAAAAAAAAAGGGGGGGGGGAGGAAGAAAAACGCTCCAAGAACCGCTCGCCCTTTAATTCTTAACTTCTCACCGAATCGCTGCAATCGACCGCTTGGCTACCAACCTGCAATATAAGTAGCACGGCGGCGTTTCCCGGTTGCATGAGGAATTCGGATCCACAGAGGGATTTTTTTTTTTTAACCTGTTCCCTAATTTTCCGCGTGGGCCTCCTTTAAGCAAGAACCGAGATTCGTGGGGAGATGGACGGGAGTCACATCTCACCCCCTCTTTCCCGCCCCACACCTCTCGCTGTCTTCCCCCCTCCCACCCTTCGAAGCCTTTTTGGCCCCGGCGACAGATGACAACAGGCTGCAGGATCGACCGTTTGGGGAGGGGGGAGGGGGAGGAGAGCAGCGCCGGAGGAAAAGAAACAAAGTTCTTATCTTAAGCTTTGTGGGTGACGTTTTTTGGGGGGGAGAGAAAGACACAAACCGGACCGGGGGGGGGGAGAAGAGAGCGAAAGTTGTCCGGGCCTCGTGGAAACAACACCCCCCCCTCCCCGCGCGCGCTCCTTCTCCTCCTTCTGAAGAGTCGGCGCGTGCGATCGTCTTACCTTGCCCGGCTCAGATCCCGACGTTTCTCCCGCAAAAATCCTTCCTTTCCTTGGAATGGGGTGGGGGGGAGCGATGGGTTGGAGAAAGGGGGGAAAGGGAGGATTGCAAAATAAAACAATAACAATAACGCCAACCAATCCTTCAAACAGCTGTCAGCAACCTCCTGAGGAGATTTCTCTCCCCCCCCCCCCAGCTGCCTTTACGCGCCCTCCCTTCTTCCTAGGAGCTTTCGCAGCAGTCCTCGCTGGCCAAAGAAAGGCGTCTAGGAAACCCGGCGCAGTCCCGCCGGCTCGGCTTCCTGAAGTGCTCGAATTCCTTCTCCGGCATTTGGGGCGGACTCGTGGTGAGGGGGGGG